CAGATGCAAATGTACTTCAGGTTCCAATGTTGTTTATTCGAGCAGGAAATGATCCATCATTCGATAATATAACAGCAGTTCTGAATCAAAAACCATTTGGTAAAAGATGTGAATACAAAGTATATCAGAATATGACACATGGGTTTGTTAGTGCTGGAGCTAATTATTCAAATCCAGTAAATGTAGCCGCAATCGATGATGTACATCAGACATTGCGAACATATTTGAGCAAGACAGTGGGTAATGGCTCTGAAACCATTAAAGCATCATTTTTTTCACTTTATTCTTTTTATATATAGCTTCTACCTATCCATTTGGAACAGTCCACAGCATAGCTGGCAGTGATTTAAAAGTCTACGATGTCGTCGGTAATAATGGAGCGACAACAAATAACAACGTTGCTATGATCGTTCTCTACGATATACGTGGTTTCAATGTCACAAACACACGATTGTTTTGTGAGCGTCTCGCATATGAATATAAGATTCGTGTGTTGATGCCTGACTTCTTCAGAGGTAAGTTCACAAAAACAACATAGCAGATTTTTATCTTTCTTAAGAATTCCAGATCAGCCAACAGCAAATGCAACTTGGCCACGTGTCGAACAAGATTTACTAACTGTCAACACCTATCTTCAATCACAAAAGTATACGACAATCGGCCTCATCGGTTTTTGCTGGGGTGGTCTGCGAGCATTGAAAGCATGTGGTAATGGTAATAATGTCTCGTGGACCAATACACCATTCTTCACTGGTATTAGTATTCATGGTTCAGGACTTAATGTAGCAGATGCAGATGTACTTCAGGTTCCAATGTTGTTTATTCGAGCAGGAAATGATCCATCATTCGATAATATAACAGCAGTTCTGAATCAAAAACCATTTGGTAATAAATGTGAATACGAAGTATATCAGAATATGACACATGGTTTTGTTAGTGCTGGAGCTAATTACTTGAATCCAGAAAATGTAGCTGCAATCGATGATGTACATGGAAAATTACGAGCATATCTGAGCAAGATAGTTGGTAATGGCTCTGAAAACATAAAAGCATCATTTATAACAATCGTGTTTTTTGCTTTCTTTGTGAAAAAGTTTTCAGCTTTTTTCTAGTACGCAGAGGTTAACATTTTACTTAATAAATAGCTGACGTAATTTGATTGAGGTAGATGTGGATGTAGGTGTGATTAGATACTTTTTCTCATGCATCATTCACACTCATATCCTCTTCATTATTTCCTGTTTCGAACAAGTTCTATTTCATGGAGTTAGATTTGCATTAGAGTGAGCTTTTAGCTCGACGAAGTAGAGTGAAAAAAATATGTTGGGATTTACAGTTACATTTGTAAAAGAGCTTTTAAAAAAACTAATGAATTTAGATAGAATTGAATTCAGGTACAACGCAAGTCCCTCGTCTTTGAAACATGTAGAGTGCTGAAAAAGAGAGAGTTTGTGGACGTATAGTCGTTGAACTTTCATGAGCTTCTATAAGATCTCATGCAACTTTTTGAATTACCTTGGAATCTTATACAAGCTTCTCAAAGCTTGTCAAACTCAATAGAAATATACCAGACGTTCTACTACTTTGGCGGCTTCTGGAAGTCTGGATAAATCTTCTGAGACTTTTATAGAGACGAAATCGGACTTAATAATCCGAATGTTGATATTCGTTCCTTAACTAAAGGAGGCACGCTGTGAAGCCTATGAAAAGTTACACGTTATATCTCCCGATTCTCCCTAAAAATGTACAACTATACCTCTAGGCAGTTCTGAAGAAATACCGTCAGATGGTTTGCAAGAAGTTTAATGTATCATCCCTAAATAATCCTCGGAAAGTCACAGGTTTAAACTATTTCGTTAGTCTTTGCATTAAGATTACCATGAGCTCAAACGCAATCCCAAACTCTCATACTGTTTGGGTTTATGTTTGTGTTTAGTTCATGCCTGTCTACAATAATCCACATCTACCATATTTCACACTCGCGCACGCATTTACCTTCTATTAACTTCTGTTGAGTTCTATTTCTGAGACCCACTGCGGAACAAATACATACACATTTTCTTCTGAAGGTCGGTTAAAGTTTAGAGGGGGATTGAATGTAAATGTAATACTTTGACAAACATCAATAATCACACATTCACCTCACACTCACACGTACATCTACTTCAATCAAATTGCAGCGCTTGTTTATTAAGTGAAATTTAGACTTTTGTTTGCTACAACAAGACTGAGAAACTCGTCTCAAACAAAACAAAAAAATGAGATTCTTAGAGTCGCCAAGCCAATATCATGGTCAAATATTTTTGCAAAGTATGATGCACATCATCGATTGCAGCCACATTTGCCGGATTTGAATAATTAGCACCAGCACTAACAAAACCATGTGTCATATTCTCATACACTTTATATTCACATTTACTACCAAACGATTTTTGATCCAGAACTGCTGTTATATTATCTAGCGATGGATCAGTCCCTGCTCGAATAAACAACATTGGAACCTGAAGTACATTTGCATCTGGCACATTAAGTTGTGAACCATGAATACTAATACCAGTGAAGAATGGTGTATTGGTCCACGACACGTTATTTCCATTACCACATGCTTTCATTGCTCGAAGACCACCCCAGCAAAACCCGATCAGACCGATTTTCGTATACTTTTGTGATTGAAGATAGGTGTTGACAGTTAGTAAATCTTGTTCAACGCGTGGCCAAGTTGCATTTGCTGTTGGCTGATCTGTAATTTTTAACGAAGATAAAAATCTGCTATGTTGTTTTTGTGAACTTACCTCTGAAGAAGTCTGGCATCAATACCCGAGTCTTGTATTCATATGCAAGACGCTCACAAAACAATCGCGTGTTTGTGACATTGAAGCCATATATATCATAGAGAACGATGACAGCAAGATTGTTCTTTGTTTTCATTTCATGATCACCGACGACATCATAGACTTTTAAATCACTGCCACTTATGCTGTGGACTGTTCCCAATGGATAGGTAGAAGAGTTATGCGCAGCAGCTATATATAAAAAGAATAAAGTGAAAAAAATGATGTACAATAACTTTCGAATTCATTTACCTGAGCTATGCAATACTAAAACGATTATAGCATATAGAATAAGCGCCATATTTTTAAAATACACTTTCTTTTAATCAGATTGTGAATAGAAAAAGTGCATTTGATCTGTCTTTATATAGGGCTTGTATACAATATATTTTTTCTCTGATTTGTACTTTACCTTCTACCTGTATTTACTACTACGTAGTTTTTATTTTTCTCTCCTTCTTTTTATTATTATTACAAGCTATATTTAATACCTACGTCATCTATCTTGATATTGATGGTAGTGAATAGTACAGTCAGTAAAGTTAATAAAAATTGAAGAGAATGGCTTATGTACTTTAATATTTATTTTCTTTACAACTACAACCAATTACTATGAGAAAGGTCGTTGTGTGTCGTTGTAGGCGTGCATGCTAGTATCTATTTCATTTACGATACCCCTATCCAGTGATCCTTACCCACATTCACATTCATGTAGTATATACTGAATCTTAAAAAAATAATAAATATGTTATTTCGACATCAATTACAGATCTATGCTGTATGTAAGAAATAGATGGAATTCTAGCTCTTTTACACAAGATATGTGTTCGTGATTTTATTGAATTGTTATGATATTCTGTAAACAATAGAGCAGAAAAAGGAATATCATGTTGCATGTGAATGATTTACGAAGAAAAAAACAACATATTCCTTGTATAAAATTTTGAAACTTTTGCATAATTATTTTTTAATATTAAATAAGTGCATCGATTTACAAGATTTATTTATAATATATATGAAAGCATACTCTTGAAGATTTAATAAAATCTACTCTGAAACTGATTACACGATCCATTGATTATAACCATTCATGTATAGATAATTACATATTATAGATTGAAATTCTATCGAATCATACCTGTAATATTAGACTCCTTCGAAAGTGTTTCTCTTAGGCGGCACTTGAAACTAATGGCAATAATATTTTAATATATATTTAATTGGAAAGGAAGAATATAGCAATTTCTTTTTTCCTCTTCATCTACTAATAAGTTTTGAGCTATTTGTTCTATGAAAACGAACGCTTTCTCGGTGGGTGCGGGTAGATTTTGGTAGAAGTATTACATCTACGCTCAATTCATATTCACACCTCACATATACACCATCATATCTCATTCAAATCTACTTATGATCAAAAGATGTGGCTAAAACTTATTGAACACCTTGAAAGGTTCCTTTGTAAGTTGTATGATTAATCAATTGGTATTTGGACTACTATTCCTACTATAAATACTGCACGAGAATTTGCTACTCGATCCTTACTTACGAATGGTGCAATATACTCTTTTTCTAAATAGTGCACAACTCTAGTGAACGACAATTTTTTGTTTGTAGAATGATGCTTAACATATATAATTCATCGACTGGTGCATATTTATTCAATTAAGGCTAATGGCAAACGTTGATTCTATGTTACTCGCTATAAAATATCATTAAAAACATACTTGAAAACGTCTTACAATTATCATGCTGCTTCTCCCTCGATTCTTTTCATTGATTTCTTTATGAAGGCCTCCATTTTCAAGTGTTACATTCATTTAGTTAAGAAACCATTGTATCTTATCTTTCTAACCAATTAACTATAGCTTCAGGTATGAAAAATATTAGTATAAATATCAGAATAATTTACAATTATCATGCTGCTTCTCCCTCGATTCTTTTCATTGATTTTTCTATGAAAGCCGGCACTTTCAAGTGTTACATTCTCATTGAAATAAAAAATCATTGTATCTTATCTTTCTAAGCAATTAACGATATCTTCAGGCATGAAAAATATTAGTATAAATATCAGAATAATTTGCATCATTGTATTATATCGTTCGACAGAAGAAAAACAAATTCTTGGTGAGTGTATCTTTAATTTCAAACTGTTTTAAAGTAGCGTGGCATTCGAGTCAGAAAATAGGTCACAAACTAGTTTAAGTATAATTCATACAGTTGATGTACAATAACAAGACTCACAACCATACTATGCATACCACCGTTTTCTTGTCTAAAAAATTCATCGTTTGAAACAATTCTATGGCTAATTCCTAATTCTTTAACGAAAAAAACAACACTTGTTTTTTTCATTCTCTTTAAGTGACATCATAATTATGGTATCAAAACAAATACAAATATGTCTTCTTATGATATATTTTCTGTTACATTCAACATGTAAGTCAACAATTATTGTCAGGCAAAAAGTCATCATCAGTTTTAGTTGGAGGTCCACATGAACGACGCTTGTTGAAACATTTGTTCGTTAAACAGGAACATAATCCACTTGAACGGCCAGCTAAAAATGATTTAGAAACGATGTCTCTCGATCTCAGCTTCAGTCTTATAAAACTCATTGACTACGTAAATGAAACTAAAATTTAATTCTATTTACATCATTGATTGATTGATTAAATATAAATAGGATGTGAAGAAAGGAATTCTCACTAGTAAAATGTGGATGACTCAAGTATGTATGTTTGTCGACAAATATTTATAATTTTCTCTTATATTCATCAGAATTGGGTGGATTACAGTATGACATGGAAACCGAAAGATTATGGTAACATTACTGAGATACGACTACCGAGCACAAAAATCTGGTCTCCAGATGTTGTTCTGTATAACAAGTAGATCTAGAAAAATATCTTTTGCTGATAAAGACTTCTTTTTTTGTAAAGTGTTGATGAGAATTATGACAATCAGATGAAAACTAATGTGATTGTCAAACATACTGGAGACATTTTATATGTTTCACCGAGAATATTCGAATCAACATGCTCGTCCAATGCGACATCAGCCCCATTTGTAAGTATCACTTATTGCTCAAAAAGATCTGATTCTATTTGTATTTTATTGAATATATAGACGTGTTCGTTGAAATTTGGATCATGGACATTCGATAAAACTAGTGCGTAGTAGACCAAATGTTAGAAGAGGACTTCATGAGATCTCCTCTCACTACATATTTTCAGTTTAGAGTTGAATGCATGAATATTCAATAAATGTTATTTGTTATTTAGGAATTAATCTGATAACATCAACCGACAAAGGCCAAATGGATTCATATATTCCGAATGATGAATGGAAATTAATAGGTAAATGATCACAGTTTGGGCGGTGTATTTATTTATTTTTCTGTGCTAGATTTCTCTTTAATACGCACTGACGATAAATACGAATGCTGTGAAGAGATTTATCCATCCGTTACGTTATATATAAAAATGCATCAAAATTTCAATCACTTACCAATAAATATCAATGGCACTGAAAACGAGGATGTCTAGCCATCATTTATATGACAACATTTCTTTTTTCATATCTATGTATGTTTGCTGTTCTTCACAACATTAATAAACTATCATATAATATTCATGACAAAAAGATTCATGTTTAACTTTTTCTGTAGTATAAAAATAAAAGACATTATCAATTTATCTAAAACTATAATCTGTTCGGCAAGTATAGCATATATAAAAATAATGAGATTCAGTCAACAAACATTTGCGTAAAGAATGTAAAAAAACTAAAAATTAATTTCACTTCAATGAATATTCGTCGGCAGTTTTGTCTGCTTCATTTTTATACTGTAAAACCTGGACTGCTCGTCCAATTGGTTTATGGCTTGTATATGAATAAGTCTATAATCTGTGGTTCTCTTCTGTCGATTCTCGAATAAGACTGTTAGTAAGAAGAAAAACAAGTCATACTTAATTGTTGTTTTCTAGAGGACATAAGAAAGAGACGAGAATATGATATTTTCTGAGTGCTGCAAATATTTATTATAGAGTAGTATTATCGTTGCTCCTTTTTGTTCTTTATTCTTCTTCTTTCATAAAGCAAGAATCATCTTTCTCTTCATAATATTCTCTCCTTAAAAACTCAACTTTATGAGTAGAATGTGAGGTAATGAAAGAGAATCAGTATTCTTTATGGCACGAGATATATCGTGTTATAATAAGTAGAATAAGAAAAACTATGACGTCATGTCAGTACTTCTTCCGTTCTATTCTCAAAAGAAAAAGAAATAGAGCGCACATCGTTTTCTTTTATTAATATACCTTATCAAAAAGTAGAAAAGAAAAAATGAGTATAGTGTTTCATTTCTAATCGAAAAGCTTATGATGGTATTTTAACTGGCACAATGGATGCTAATGAGAATTTTCAGTTGGAAATAGAAGAACCATTCGTGATCCGAGTCGAAGAACCAGTTTCTACTAGGAAAAACAAGGTCTGCTCTTGGTTTCGACGTCTCTTCAATATTGATGATATACCCAATCAAAAACATCATCGCCCAATATTCATTATTGTTATGTGTATTTTACATATTTTAATTTTTCTTTTAACCTACATTACGATTAATTGGATGGGTGAAAATTTTGCGTTTGGTTTATTTGATCTTTTAAAATTTTACGTCCCATGTATGCGTCCAACATCTGCAAGTATTCGTACAAGTATCGTTAGTTGTAATCCATCAATGAAAAATACAACATGTTTATATGACGATCAACTCAGAAAGATGTGTTTCTCTTTCTTATATCCACATCAATTATGGCGATTGGTAACTGTTAACTTGCTTCATTTTGATGGGTACCACTTACTGGCAAATCTATTGAAACAACTTTTGTACGGCATTCTGCTAGAACAGAAATATGGTTCATTTCGTATGATTCTTATTTATTGGTTTTCAGAGTTGGGTGCTAGTTTAAGTTCTATGATTAAAAATAGAGAAAAAGGTAAACAGATCTTTCAAATAATATTTCTTATTAAAGTTGTTTGAAAAAAATGTAATGAAATTCAATAGACAAAGCGAGAGAAATGAGCGGCAGATGCTTTTGCATTAGATATGTTCACAATTTTCAAAATACATTCAAATGTATGGAGCAATTTTTTTTAATATGTTAATTCTGAATATCGAGGATTGACTTTCCAGAGTTATGACTATTTTTTATCTCTTTAGGTGGAATTGGAGCTTCCGGTGCTATGTACGGTCTAATGTTATTCTTCACTGTCGATCGTCTTCGTGCATTGCAAATAAATATCGAACGTCATATTTTAATAGTGATACAACTAGTTCTTTTTGTGTTAATTCCTGTCATGAGCACTACACTTCCAACAATTATTTTCGAGCTCAATGTAGCACATTCAGCTCATGTTGGTGGTGGTTTAGTGGGTTTTCTCTTTGCGATCAGTATGCTCGATTGTCCTTTGTTACGAAATAGCGAACATGGAATCTATCAAACAGTATGTCACGGAATAGGATTTGTTCTTCTCTCTCTCTATTTTGTTATAACTATAACAATTTCTTTTCTGATGGATACTCCAATTGTCGACGCAATTTTATACAAGCCTAAGTTATACGTCGACTATTCTACCAAAGGATTCAATTAATATTCGCAAGGATGTATATGGCTGTGGGTGTAAATACGAAATATATTTACTTGTTACACCCACCCACCCTCAAGATGATGACAAAAACATTTTGTACAAAGCAACTTGTGTAGTTTGAAAACATATTTTTTTACTAGACATTTCTTTATGTCGTTTTTCTTTTTCTGTGGAATGAGTCACTAACTTGTTCGTTGCTTTCACCATCATAATGCAATATTCTTTCTGATTCATCCTATATAATGTAAAAAAATACCTTCGTTCTCTTTCACTACTATTGACGCAACTTCGCTCCTCACACACACGTGTGCACACCCTATATAAAGAGCCAACTTACGTGAGAACAGCGCATTCATTCAAACAAACGTCAACATGCTTCGAATCAAACGTGATGTATCAGTATCTGGTATTTTTGCACAAGAACAATCACAGTATGTACCTTTAAAACGAGTGAGTGTTGACTCAACAATTCGGGCATTTGCTGCTGATGTGACTATTACACAAATATTTCGAAATGACGAAACAGTGCCAATCGAAGCAGTTTATTGTTTTCCGATTGAAGAACAAGCAGCGATTTACAAATTTAAAGCTCAGATAGATGATCGAGAAATTAATGCTCAGTTGAAAGAGAAGAAAGAAGCACAACAAGAATATAACAATGCTCTGCAGCAAGGTCATGGTGCTTATCTATTAGAACAAGATGAAAAGTCTCAGGACTGTTTTATTATTAATGTTGGTGCTTTACCACCATCGAAAGAATGCACGATTACTATTGGTTACGTATCAGAATTAAATCTTGTTCATAATTCAACTATTCAATTTGTTGTACCGACGGCAATTGCACCACGTTACAGTCCCGACAAAAATGGAATCGCATCACCAGCAGGCACTACTTCTAAATACGTTCAAGTGAGCCCATATACCATCGATTTTCGTTGTTATATTGAAAAAACATTGGGATCTCAAAAGGAACAAATTACTCGAGTTAGTTCACCATCACATTCAATTGAAATCAATCTTGCTCAAGAAGATGCTTATGTGGTGACATTCGCTCAGGAGAATACTCATTTAGATCGAGATATTTTAATTAATATTCAACTTTCTGATCAACGAAATAGTACCATTACAGCAGTAGAATCTGGTGCAGTAATGGCTACTTTTCTTCCAACTGAAAATGATTGTCATCAAGCATTGAGAAATGATGATTTAACTAATGAATTTATTTTTATTGTCGACTGTAGTGGATCAATGCAGGATGAAAATAAAATTGGATTAGCTCGACAAGCTATGTTACTCTTTTTCAAAAGTTTACCTGTTAATTGTTATTTCAATATAGTTCGATTTGGTTCTCAATATGAGACTCTATTCAATGAAATTACTGCAGTTTACAACGAAAACAACGCTCAACAAGCCGAACAACTCATTAAACAGATGCAAGCCGATCTCGGCGGAACCGAACTAGTAAGTCTTATCTCTTTTTAACTTGATAATGATTATGACTGTGTTTATTTTTAGTTGCGACCTATACAATGGCTTAAAGAAAATGTACCTAGTCAAGGCCGTGCACGTCAAGTATTTCTTTTAACCGACGGAGAAATTTCTAATGTGACAGAAGTACTTGATCTCTGCCGATCAATGGCGACGTCTACTCGTATATTCTCGTTTGGATTAGGACAATCTCCTAGTCGAGCATTAGTAAAAGGTCTCGCTCGTACGACTAATGGTCGGTTTGTTTTTATTCCACCTAATAGTAGCGTCGATTTATATGTTGGAGAACAATTACAAAAAGCACTTCAACCATGTATTACGAATGTTCATGCCAAATGGAATCTTGGAACTCCAGTTCAAACTGCTCCTACTCAATTACCACCAGTTTATGTTAATGATCGTTTGATTGTTTATGCTTTGCTCGAAGACAAAACGGTTCCTTTTGATCACAACTCGTCTGTCGAACTACAAATTGGTTCTGAACATCGTTCAATAGGCATGGCCAAAATCAACCATATACCCAGTGTGAGTAGTAATGAAACAATCGCTCGTCTAGCGGCTAAAGCACTCATTCTTGAATTACAACACGCTAAACTACCGTCATCGAACACGAAAACTGGTTCGACACAGGCAAGATTTCAAGAACTGCAAAAAGCGATGGAGACCAAAGAGGAAAAGATGGAAACCTCATCGGAAGAGACGACCAAACAACGTATTATTACATTATCACTGAAGTATAACATATTGAGTCCTCTTACAGCATTTGTTGGAATTGAGAAACGAACGAATACAAGTAAGACCGACATGATCCTTCGAGAAGTACCCATTCAAATTTCTGCGGACGATCAGCACTTGCAGAGATCCGGTAGTGGACGTGGTTTTGGTGGGCTTGGCCTTGGTAGGGGAGGCGCTCTTAGACATCGGAAGATTTTACCTGAGGGCATACAAAGTCGTCGTCGTGTGACACGCTCTGCGACAGCATATGCTTCTAATTCAAATCTGATGTTGTCAAAGAAGAAACAAAGACTGGTGGGAGAACCTACGGTGAATCAACACCATGTAGCAATGATGTCAGCAGAAGCAAGTGCCTTGGAAGAAGATGACGCTGATGATTTCTCCGACACAATATCGAAAAAAAAGAAGATAAAGTCGCCGATAAAAGAAATATGGCCATCGAATGATGATGATGTAGTTCGATACTTGATTGATAAACAAAAGTTTAATGGTCTCTGGGACCTTGATTCGCAAGCCGTTCAAAATTTGACTGGAAAAACGCTTGCTGAATTTCTTCAGAACAATAGTCAAATTGAACAGCAAGTTCTTATCTCAGCTATTATCGTCGTCGTACTAGAAACACGTTTTGCATCGTTACAAACATTGTGGCATGGCATCGTTCAAAAGGCTCGCAAACGTCTCGTCAACTTACTTGGACCAGATCCGACAATTCTTCATCAACTTCTGGAAAATATTCAAAAACAGTTTTAAATAGAAATTAATTAATAATAAAAGTATCATCTTTTCACACTAATGTTGAATTTAATTATTGCACAAGAGTGATAAGCGAATGGAACCACATATAGAAAAATTATTTTAGAACTTTTCTAAATAAAAAGAAAGCAATATCAGTTATTTAAACACTTTTATTTTCTACTTAATAGTATAAAAGTCAGTAGGAGCGTAACTGCCAGTTGAACTGGAGAGGGATGAACTCCATACTCATAACTGTTTCAGCTTTATCCAGCCATATTTTGAGCGTTATTATAATTTGATCTTACTAATCTTTTGAAAAATCAAGAATATTCTCGTAACGTCTAAAACTAAATAGTTTTTGCAAGCATTTGTACACGGTTTCGGTACAGTTGGGCAAGATCTACAAGATCCTAAATATCAAAAAAAGATTTTGATCTTTTTCAGTATGAAACTTCAGAAACCTGTGAAAATTAATAAAAATCTTACAGTAGTAAGTAGTATGCTTCCCTTTCAATAACTTCGTTGATCGACTAGTTTGGAGTGTAGATGTTGTCTAACAGAACATATACGTTCACACTCCTCGATACTGTTTTACAATGAATTTTTCAACTAAGAATGATGGTAAACGTTTGTTGCCTGTTGACCGCTAAAATATCATTAAAAATATACTTGAAAACGTCTTACAATTATCATGTTGCTTCTCCCTCGATACTTTTCATTGATTTTTTTATGAAGGCTTCCATTTTCAAGTGTTACATTCATTTAGATAAGAAAGCATTGTATCTTATCTTTCTAAGCAATTAACGATATCTTCAGGCATGAAAGATATTAGTATAAATATCAGAATAATTTGCATCATTGTATTATATCGTTCGACAGAACAAAAACAAATTCTTGGTGAGTGTATCTTTAATTTCAAACTGTTTCAAAGTAGCGTGGCATTCGAGTCAGAAAAAAGGTCACAAACTAGTTTAAGTATAATTGATACAGTTGATGTACAAATAACAAGACTCACAACCATACTAAGCATACCACCGTTTCCTTATCTCAAAAATTCATCGTTTGAAACAATTCTATGGCTAATTTCTAATTCTTTAACAAAAAAAACAACACTTGTTTTTTTCATTCTCTTTAAGTGACATCATAATTATGGTATCAAAACAAATACAAATATGTCTTCTTATGATATATTTTCTGTTACATTCAACATGTAAGTCAACAATTATTTTCAGGCAAAAAGTCATCGTCAGTTTTAGTTGGAGGTCCACATGAACGACGCTTGTTGAAACATTTGTTCGTTAAACAAGAACACAATCCACTTGAACGACCAGCTAAAAATGATTCAGAAACAGTGTCTGTCGATCTCAGATTCAGTCTCATAGAACTCATTGACTACGTAAATGAAACTAAAATTTAATTGTATTTACATCATTGATTGATTGATTAAATATAAATAGGATGTGAAGAAAGGAATTCTCACTAGTAAAATGTGGATGACTCAAGTATGTATGTTTGTCGACAAAGATTGATAATTTTCTCTTATATTCATCAGAATTGGGTGGATTACAGTATGACATGGAAACCGAAAGATTATGGTAACATTACTGGGATACGATTACCGAGCGCAAAAATCTGGTCTCCAGATGTTGTTCTGTATAACAAGTAGATCTAAAAAAATATCTTTTGCTAATAAACTCTTCCTTTTTTGTAAAGTGTTGATGAGAATTATGACAATCAAATGAAAACTAATGTAGTTATCCAATATACTGGAGAAATTATACACGTTTCACCGCGAATATTCAAATCAACATGCTCGTCCAATGCGACATCAGCCCCATTTGTAAGTATCACTTATTGCTCAAAAAGATCTGATTCTATTTGTATTTTATTGAATATATAGACGTGTTCGTTGAAATTTGGATCATGGACATTCGATAAAACTAGTGCGTAGTAGACCAAATGTTAGAAGAGGACCCCATGAGATCTCCTCTCACTACATATTTTCAGTTTAGAGTTGAATGCATGAATATTTGATAAATGTTATTTGTTATTTAGGAGTTAATCTGACAACAGGAATCGAGGGAATTGATATGACTTCATATATTCCGAATGATGAATGGAAGTTAATAGGTAAATGATCATAGTTATTCAGACAATGCTTTTATTATTTTTCTGCCTTAGATTCCTCTGCCAAAAATATGGAAGAGAAATACGATTGTTGTGAAGAGATTTATCAATCCGTTACGTTATATATTAAAATGCATCAAAATTTCAATCACTTACCGATAAATATCAATGGCACTGAAAACGAGGATGTCTAGCTATCATTTATATAATAATATTTCTTTTTTCATATCTATGTTTGTTATTCTCCATAAGATTAATAAACTATGATAGAATATTCATGACAAAAGGATTCATCTTCAATTTTTTTCTATAGTTACCGTGAGATTTCTACATAAAACTGTATGACACTATTGAGGGTGTGGGTCTGGAAGTGACAATATGTTATTTGTCACAGTCGCACACCCACACCCACACCCTCAACGTCTCTTCTTTTTATATTTCATCAAAGTAAGATTATTAATACTTTAGGTAATTTATTAATTAAACTAATAAAGGCGTCAGGTATAACGACCGACCAAACTACAACAACATTCTTACGACTGTTCTTAGATTCGAAGTTTGAGGTAAAGCAAAAAGTTTACTACTAAATTTTTAAATATCTTGTGTCTCCATACAGAAGCTCAACAATTACAAAATATCGCTGTTCATTTAACAAATCAATTCAAGCGAATAAAATATTATCCATGTCCGTTAAATAAAAACGAGTTGTGGAAGATGGAAGAGGACATGCTATATAAACTTGTTGAAAATATGCAAGCTTCCAGTCATCTTCAAACAACCAGCAGCAATTAACAAAACAACAATAGCAACATCCATATCAAAGCAAAGTATTTATAGGCTTCAAACCTCTATAATCATATGAAAAAAACATACAGAAATGATATTCAAGTCTTAATTTTTATGAACTTTTCGACATTTCTTTGATTCATTTAAATTCGAAATAAATTACTATAATCAGTGATTAAACATCTTGAGAATGAGTGTAGATGAGGAAGAGATAGCCCCTCCCATACTCACAGCCCCAAGATTTCTGTGAATGCTGATTGAATTAGAAGTAAAAGAAAAATATTAATATTAACTTTGCTAAGTATTTTGTATTTTTATACATAGGGTGAAGCATTAAAAGATATTGGTATCTATCTTTAAGATGAACATGATCGTTCAAATGGGTTTGGTACACTTTGCCGAGTGATTGCTCTGCCGACAATTAATGGGTTGAAATAAAAAGTAACAATTTGTTGAGGGTGTGGATCTGGAAGTGACAATATGTTATTTATCTCGGTCGAACACCCACCCTTTATATTTTACATAATCAATTATTTAATTCAATATTTTATGGCAACAACCGCCAAAACTTCAGCAACATTTCTTAAACATGCTCATGGAATCAAAATTTGAAGTAAAACAAAAATTTTAATATAAACTTTATTAAATATTTTGTATTTTCATATATAGAGCGAGGAATTAGCCAACATTACACAATACGTTACACATGAACTTGAACTAGCAACTGATGACGACGAAATAAAGTTGTTGAAAATGGAAGTGGACTTGCTATATAACCTAGTTGGTTATTTGTAAGCCTCCGGCCATCTTCAAACAAACAACAGCAATTAACAAAACAACAACAACAGTATTCGCAGAATTTAATAATCTATTGATTTTTATTCAACATTTGTTATAAAATCTTGAGGATGTGGGTATGGGTGTGGATCTGAAAATGAGAATATGTTATTTATCACAGCTGAATACTCACACCCACCCCCGCCCGC